GCCAGACCTCCCTCCCCCCCCCCCTTCAAACGCCGGCCTTGCTGTGCTTGTGCTCCAGGCTGGTGGGTGCGAGTGGCCGCAAGAAGATTTTCCGCCTGAGCGACGTGATCAAGCCTCTCACGGACACCCAGAAGGAGAAGCTCAAACTGGCCGCTGTCAAGCGGATCCTGCGCTCCGAGAAGGCCGTGGCTTACAGCGGGGCGGCCCACGTAAGTCAGCGGTCCCCAAGCCACAGGCACCCGGGCCACTACTGGGCCGTGGCCTGTTTGAAACCGGGCCGTGGGAGAGATGGGAAAGCGCCACATGGGCATGAAGTTCCACTCCCGCGAGCGGCAGATGAGCCTGCGCGAATGGAGCTTCGTGCCCAGCGCCCTCCGCTCGGAGGAGCAGAGCTTTGCACCCGTGCGCCAAAGAGCCTAGTGCTCATGTGCGCCGAGCCCCGCGTGCAAGGCCAGGCATCCTCTCGTGCGCATCTCCTGCTCTGCACAGAGAGCTGTGTAGGTGCCCCTTCCACACACACACACAGACACACACGCCCTGTGCAATCTGGAAAGGGTTGGGACCGCTGAGGTCGGCCGAGGGGGCCGCTGTGGGCAAGCCACTGTCCTGAGCCCAGACTTCCCTCCCGCAGGCCCGGGTGAAGATCCTCTCCTCCCTGGTGACCCAGTTTGAGGTCCCTCTGAAGCAGGAGATCTTGGCCTTCGTGCTGGACGACATCCGCAACCGGCTGGACCTGGCCTTCGCCTGGCTCTACCAGGAGTACAACGCTTACCTGAGCCAATACCCCACCGGCTCCCTCAGCAACTACGACGAGTGTCTCATCGGCCTCCTCTCCGGCCTGCAGGAGAAGCCCGACCAGAAGGATGGGTGAGTCCCTGGCCCTGCAGAGCCGGCAAGCTGGACGGGGGCTAGGAAACCCCTCTGGGTCATGTTTGCGAGGGACCCTCGTTTTTTTACTTCCCAGTTACCAGTAGTAGCCTTAAGTCAGAGGTAGAGAAGAGAAGGACAGAGGGAAGAAAGGAGGTAGGGAGGGGGAGGAGAGAAAGGAAGAGTGGAAAGGGGAGAGAGGAGAAGGAAAGAGGAAGGGGAAGAAGAGAAGGACAGAGGGAAGAAAGGAGGGAAGGAGAGGGAGGAGAGAAAGTTTTAGCAAATCTCTCTGGTTGAAAGTGTTGATTTGGAAACCGGCACAAAAATCAGCTGAATTTGTTTCTTGGAATCCCGCCTTTATTATTTTTACAAATAACTCCAAAGGGGCGAACATGCCCCCCCCCACGCCTTCCTCCCCCTGTTTTCCCCACAGCCACAACAACCCTGTGAGGTGATTTGGGCTGAGAGAGACGCGCTGGCCCAAAGCCCCCCCATTCTGGCTTCCCTGGCTAAGGTGGGACTAGAACTCCCAGTCTCCTGGTGGTTGAGCCAATATTAACCCAGCTGGCTTTCAGGCCTAAGGAGGTGGCACTAGAACTCACCATCTTCCACTTCCCCCCAAGACTAAACTGGCTTCCCTAGTTTTTCCTCCTCCTCTTAGAATTATTTTGAAGGGAGAAGAATTGAGGGGGCTTCAGGTTGCCTCGTCTCCTTTGATAAAATGTCTTTGGGAAATGATTTTGAAAGGCTCCCAGTCAAAATGATGCCCACATAGAGAGGAAGGGGAAGTAGAGAAGAGAAGGATGACGGAAGAAAGGAGGTAGGGAGGGGGAGGAGAGAAAGGAAGAGTGGAAAGGGGAGAAGGAGAGAGGAAGGGGAAGGAGAGAAGAGAAGGACAACAGAGGGAAGAAAGGAGGTAGGGAGGGGGAGGAGAGAAAGGAAGAGTGGAAAGGGGAGAAGGAGAGAGGAAGGGGAAGGAGAGAAGAGAAGGACAACAGAGGGAAGAAAGGAGGTAGGGAGGGGGAGGAGAGAAAGGAAGAGTGGAAAGGGGAGAAGGAGAGAGGAAGGGGAAGGAGAGAAGAGAAGGACAACAGAGGGAAGAAAGGGAAGGAGGGGGAGGAGAGAAAGGAAGAGTAGAAAGGGGAGAGAGGAGAAGGAAAGAGGAAGGGGAAGTAGAGAAGAGAAGGACAACAGAGGGAAGAAAGGAGGGAGGAGGAGGAGGAGGAGAGAGGGAGAAGAAAGTGATGGATAAGGTACAAATATGGGGTAGGGAGAGCAGAAGAGCCAATAATGGGTTTGGGGAGTTGATGGTAAGGTGAATTGATGTAAACATTTAATAATACAATATGATGTTGGCTATGTCATAGTATACATGTGATTATGTGTTATGAAAATGGAAAAAAAACTTAAAACAAAATGATCTCCATATAAATAATGTTCCCTCTGGCATCCTTTCTTTAATCGAGAAGTTTGTATAAATCAACTTTTGCTGGCTGAAATGGTGCAGCTCAACTTCTTCCAGTGGGAGCCGGACTTCTTTCTATCTTCTCCTGATTGCCCACTCTAAACCCTTGACCCTCTCTGGGTCCCCTTCCCCCGTGTCTCTTGCAGGATCTTCACCAAGGTGGTTCTGGAGGCCCCCCTGATCACAGAGAGCGCCCTGGAAGTCATACGCAAGTATTGCGAGGATGAGGTGCGTCTCCCAGGCCGTCAGGCCCCTTTACAACCCCTGGACTTCAACTCCCAGAATTCCTCAGCCGGACCTGGATGGCTGCCTCAATGAATTATGGGAGTTGAAGTCCACAGGTTGGACTTCAGTTGTCTGGAATGAGACAGCTAAATATTTACGGCCCTACGAAGAGCAGAAGTTGGGGAAATTGATATTTTTGAACGTACTAACAATATTCATGGGTTTTTTTTTCCCTTCTTTGGACCGGGACACATCCTGGGGTTTTTTTCTGGGCCGCTCTGCAGAGCCGGACATATTTGGGCATGTCGACCCTCCGCGATCTGATCTTCAAGCGCCCATCCAGGCAGTTCGAGTACCTGCACGTTCTCTTGGACCTCAGCTCCCACGAGAAGGACAAGGTGAATCTTCCGCTCTTGGGCCAAAATATCTCAGCTCTTAACCATTATAATGCTAATTTCCCAATACTGGTAGCCCTCGATTTAACAGCAGTTCATTTAGACTTCCAACAGCACTGAAAAAAGTGAGGTAGGACCATTGTTCATACTTACGACCGTTGCGGTGTCCCCCATGGACACGTGATCAGAATTCGGACAACTGACTCACATTTATGACGGTTGCAATGTCCCAAGGGCGAGCAAAGCCAGTGGGGAAAGCAGAATTCACTTAACGACCATGTTTACTAATTTAACAACTGCAGTCATTTACTGAACAATGGATGAGTAAGGTAATAAAATGGTGGTGGTGGGGGGGGAGAAACTCACTTAACAGCCTCACAGGGTTGTTGTGGAGAAAATAGGAAGGCGTGTGGGAGATGTTCACCGCCGTGAGTTATTTGTACAAATAATGAAAGTGAGATATAGATAAGATAAATAGAAGAAATCCCCTCGATGCGTTTTGTTCAGTGTTTCTCAACCTTGGCAACTTGAAGAGGTCCGGACTTCAACTCCCAGAATTCCCCAGCCAGCTTTCGCTGGCTGGGGAATTCTGGGAGTTGAAGTCCGGACCTCTTCAAGTTGCCACGGTTGAGAAACACTGGTCTTGTTGGAGTTGAAAGTGACCCGGACTGGCTCTTCTCCTGACTCAGGTTCGCCAGCAAGCCCTCCTCTTCATTAAGCGGATGTACGAGAAGGACCACCTGCGGGAATACGTGGAGAAGTTTGCCCTGAATTACCTGCAGCTGCTGGTCCACCCCAACCCGCCTTCCGTTCTCTTTGGCGCTGATAAAGATACAGGTAACTTGGTCCCAACAAGGAGGATCTTCCGATGGGCCTCGGTCACCTTCAGGCGCAAGTAACCGGATCTACACAGGGAAAGTTCAAGCTCACCACTTGATTCCGTTCTGCCTATTATGCAGGGATCTCTCCATAGCAATAGCAATAGCAGTTAGACTTATATACCGCTTCTTAGGGCTCTCAGCCCTCTCTAAGCGGTTTACAGAGTCAGCATATCGCCCCCACAATCCGGGTCCTCATTTTACCCACCTCGGAAGGATGGAAGGCTGAGTCAACCATGAGCCGGTGAGATTAGAACCGCTGAACTGCAGATCACAGTCAGCTGAAGTGGCCTGCAGTACTGCACTCTACCCACTGTGCCACCTCGGCTCCATACTGTCAGCCTTCACACAGAGAGGGTCTATGGAACAT